CGCCACCTCCTTGCTGGCCCCATTCCGGCTCCGCCAGCAGGGGCCGCAGGTCCTGCCCTTCTCAGGGTCGCCTGCTGCGGCCGAGACCACCGGCGTGATAATCGACTTCGGGTGGAGACTGGAGAGGACTTGAAAGCTGGTATTTCGCAAATCCCAGCTAGGTTAGATCCTAGTTAGGTATCTGTGCACCTGGCTCCACCCACAGCCCCTTGGGTCCCTGGGCTGCGACCTGGTGATTTGCCTAAACCCCTGTGTCCCTACCTGGAAGCCCTCCACGGTGGACTGGGTTTTCATCCTCGATGTGCAGGCCCAGCCGCCAAAGCTCCCTCGTCTGAGCTGTTAACTCTGGAGTCTGGAAAACCTGGGCTCCACCTCCACACGCTGCCTTTTACAGCCCTGTGGATCTGTCACAACACTTACTGGCCCCAGTTACACCTGAGCAGAAAGGGCAGGTGAGTCCTGCCTCACCATAGCGAGGCTCCAGTGGGACGTCCCGTGTCACCACGGACCTGCTTCGTGAGACTGTGTGGTTCTTGTCGCCTCTCTACAGTGGGGTGAGGGCGCCCAGGATCCAAGCTAACCGCGAAGCTTTGCTGCTTTGAGCAACTATGCATGTCATACCCTTCTGAGCCTCAGTTTACCTGTCTATGCAGGGAGAATAATGACGAAAAAGTTCACCCTGCTCAGAGAAGGTTGTATGAAACAAAGTAAATCATTTATTTTGCTCTCTTTGCAAAGTACCATGCAAATACTTCTTGTTGTTGTTGGGTTTTTTATTGTTGGTATATTAGTGTGTTGTTTTGTTTTGTTAGAGACAAGGTCTTGCTATGTATTTCAGACTTGCTGTATACTACAGAATTCACTGTGTAGTTTAGGCTGGCCTCGAACTTGTGGAGATCCCCCTGTCTCAGCCTCCAGACTGCTGGGATTACAGGCATGAGCCACTATGCCCAGGTCAAATGCTTTTGTTATTTCTGTTATGTCTGTGGGTTTCGCTGGCTAGGCAGTCTTGGTTAAGGTTGTGGTCTATAATTTTGAATGGATACCATTCAAATGCAGAGGAGGTGACACACCAAGCACCTGGTAAGGTTATGTTCACATTACCGCAGGCAGTGAACAATACGAGGCATTCATCCCTGACAAGGGACTTAAAATTAGGGCCACCTGTCCCTGTAGTCCAGTCTAATGTTTGTGCAGTGAGCTTACATTAGCAGACACAGTGAACAGGATTTGTTCCCCGATTTCCCAATATGGTTTTAATGAGCATTTCCTTATTAGAAAATTGGGACATCTCCTTTGTGTGTTGCACTATGCTGTTTTCCTATTAACACATTGTCTCTCCTTTCTCCTGCTTAGCTCATCTCCCTCAACGAGTACAAACATCTACAGGAGCAGAAGCTTTTCTCATGCTTGAGTGGCTCCATACATCTTCTCTGTGAGTTTTCCTTCAAACCTGGAGACTGGAATCCTCATCTGTCTACAGACCCACCAAGCCGATGAGACACCCACAACCTAAAATCCTCAAGATTATCCACGCACTGTGATGACTGCCTTCTAGCGTAATCTCTTTATGTTGGGATGGTCTTGAGGTCTTTATAGATCCAGCCTCAAAGCACTTAGAATTCCAAGCATCAGGTATCTGTTGTGCTTGTTCACGAGCAGTTTGTGATTCTGAAGCTGGACCAGAACCACCCAAGGCATCTGCTGAATTTGCGTTACTGGCACAAGTCCCACTGCTCTGCCATGTAATGGGCCAGTTAGTTCGAGAGACCAGGCGTTCACGCAAGGAAGGCAACTTTATTTGAAAAGCAGGCTCAGTGAAAAGATGGGGGACTCTTGTCCAGAGTTCATCTGACCAGGAAGCTGATTCAGGAATAGTTTATTTTGGCAGTTGACGGCTGTTACCAGACTGGGGTTGGCTTCTCACTGTGGATGGTGAGATGCACATCTGATCCCAATGGGCTAGTGGGCTGCTGCTTTTCAGTTCTGTACTTCTCAAGAACAAAGATGGTTATTTCCTCAGGCTATGCTTATCACAGATTCAGTCACCCTTGGACAGACCAGAGGGTACAGCTTTCCTGAGGCTCTCTTCCTGATCACCAAACTCTGATGATAATGGAGAAAGCACTTCACTCAAAGGTGTTACAGGTGCAGTCTGGTCTCCGTGCTCCAAATCAGGGCAGATTCCCAGGGAGGCCCTCCCACCCCTCCCACCCCACCTATGTATCTTATGGCGATTTCCAGGGTAGGGCCCAGGAGTCTTTCTTTCATAGGCCCCTCAACTTGTTGAAAATATTGTCTATACCACAGAAACTATTTCCTCTGCTGTGAAAAACTATAATACTACATAAGATCCTAATGATATAATGGACAATGTGAAATAGGAAGAAAGGGGCTAAAGGTGTAGGGAAAGTGGGAAGAGTAGAGGAAAGGGAATAAGGGAAAGAAAAAATATGAGAAAATGAAAAAATGGAAATGAAGTGTTTGTAAAAGGGGGAGGGGAGGAGGGATGAAGGGAGGGCAGG